CCCCAAGCCTCCCCAGTGCCAGCCTTCCAATGGCACCCCAAGCCTCCCCAGTGCCAGCCTTCCCATGGCAGCTGCCTGCGGCACTCGCTGAGACTGGCCCTGCCACCACGGCTGCAGCCAGTGACTGCTGCTTGACTGGGCTGTCAGTGCCAGCAGCCTGAGAAGGGGAGCTATGTGGAGATGTGACAGGAACCCAACAGTGAGGGCCTCAGCCAGAACATAGCTGCAAGCTGTTACTTGACAGAGAGACCAGATGTCCTGATGGCTGCAGCCTCCTCTGCTCTGTCTGGGGAAGGAAACCAAGTGCATGGCTTGCCTGTGCAGAGCACAGCTGGGGTGCAGCAGGGCAGAGGCACTCCAAAGCAGAACAGGCATGTGAGGAGAGGCTGAGACCTGCTGGCACATAGGGGCTTGTGTTCGCCCTGGCCTCAGCATGGTCAGCATCAGCCCCCATCAGCGCAGGTGACATTCACAGGTGCTCAAGACACCAGTCCAGCACAGCCTGAACAGCTCCTCCCAGGTCACAAGGGCACCCTGGGCCCCAGCAGCCCTCAGCACAGGGGGAACAGCTCCCTCACGTCTTGCAGCTGAGGAAGACATGGGAGCTCCAGGGTCCGTGAGCTCAGGGCACAGTGAGCCTCACCACACGCAGTGCAGCAGACACAGTACCCTTCATGCTTGTGCATGGCACCTATCCAGCACTCAAACCTAAACAACAACAGTAAAAAACTTGGTTTATTTCTCTATAAAGGCAGAGCTTTCCTTGAAAAAACCAGCTCGTTTCACTCATGAGAGGGTGTGGGGCTGAACTGCAGGGGCAAGGCCTTCCTCACACTGCTCCAGGCCAAGAGCTATTGCTCCCTGAGGATGTGCACTGGCTGCATCCAGCAGGCTCAGAGCACCCAGAGTGGTCCTGTGTGGCCTGGGAGCAGGCAGAGCGAGGAGCACAGGTCCCCCAGCCCAAGCTGGGAGCAGCTGCAGCTGTAGGCGGTTCATGCAGGCAGAGCAGGACAAGGAGTGAGTGTCACAGCCTGGGCACTCCATGGCAGCAGTGCCGGCAGCCCCCGTGCCCGGAGGGCAGTGCCAGGGTAGGGGCAGGCACTGGCTGTCCCGGGTGCAGGCACAGGGTGAATCCTGAGTGGCTGGTCCATTGTTGCAGAGATTTGGCTTAGCCCAGGGGAGTCTTGGGGCCAGCAGTCCTGGGGCCAGAGGTGGGGAGGTCTCCAACCCCTCCCAGCCCTGTCCAGCTGTCCGGGGGCTGCCCCAGGCGATAGCACAGGAGCTGTGCTGTAGGAGAGCACGCTGGGGGCACAAGAGGTGTTAATTCTGAAAAGAGAGAGGAAGACATGGCGGACCATGAGACATGAGGCTG